AAGCTGCTTTTCTCAAACAGTACTTCAAGGGTTGGAATCTTTAATAAGAAATTTTTCAAAACGGAAAATGTCATACAAATAAGAAAGCTGTCTTTTTCTATCTGCAAAAACATTTCTCATCAATAAAAATTACCCTTGAGATGACGAGTGAGGTTCTGTGGTGTTTCATTACAAAATTAACTTTCAGGAAGTGCCGTGGATGAGGGAGAATTGCATCTTTTAACTGAAAAGGTGGAAATAATGGACTCTGAGGCACTGATTCGGATACATATGGATAAATGGGATGTTGGGAACTTGAATAGGAACTTTTAATTTCTCCTAAGAGTATGTTAAAAGCACGATAAATGAATAGAGCTGTAACAACATCTTGTTCTGTAAATGATAGAGTTTCTTCAGCTCACAAGTATGAAGGTGTTTGGAGAATATTATTTGGATAAGAGTAGCTGAATTATCACCCCAAAGAAACCGGTGAAATTATAACACTGGTGGGAAAGATTCTGGAATGTAGAAAGTCTTAGCATGAACGGTATCTTGGAATTCCTTGAAACAGAAATCTCTAACACCAAACTAACGATGTACCAATTGATGATAAGCACAGGATCTTAGAGCTCAGACTGAATCTTTGCCTTTCCTTTTTCCCCCTCTTTAATTTGTTGGTTCATTTGAAGTGTACACGTTCACCAGCCGACCAGCCACATTACTTACGAGCCATTTTTAACTTGGGTTGTAAATTCTGTACATCTGTTAGGCAAATAAACAATGACCTAATTTTGTATAATTGTTGAAATACCAAAACAATTTGAGATAATCTGGCATCAAAACATATGTACTTATAAATAGAATACATTAGTAATTTTCCAACTAACATATCACATCTGGGCCCATCTTTCCTATTTACGCAGCATGTTCTCAGATCTTTGAAATTCTACAGCGTGTTTAGTTTAAATTCTACATATTTACCCTCTCCTATTACCCATCTATGCTTGGGCTCTCCAGAGAACTAAATTTAAAAAGTCAGAGCTTGTTCTTGCTGCAGATATTTTATTGGGTTCTTTTAATATTTCATTTTGTGTCTTATTTCATTCAGGTTTTGATCTTTCTTTGGGTTCTTTTTATATACATATTTCATTGTGCCCATCGACTACAAATCATCAAGTCAAATATTCTGATCAAAAGCAACTTTAATTATTCCAGGGGGGAAAAAAATACACACTGGAGTGGGACGGAGTATGCAAACACGTTTACAAAGAGCCCCATCAGCAAGTTGAAACAGTTGTATTTGGTCCCACAAATATGTGGTGGAAAGGGTGCCAGCTGTGCCTGGGAGACCTGGGAGTTAGCTCCAGGTATGTCATACATGCACGGATGTTTTTGGATAAGGCCTTTGCTGTAGTAGCCTCCCAGAGTCTCAGAGAAGGTAGATTGCTGGGGTTCGCATGCCATTGTAATAGGACCTATTTTAAAAGGATGCCACGACATGATATAGTCAATCTTCATTTCATGGATTTCATATGCGTATTCACCTATTCGCTGAAATGTATTTGTAAAACCCAAATCAATACTTGGGTCATCCAGAAACATGTGTAGAATGACAAAAAACTTGGAGTCATCCATGTGCATGTTGTCAGCTGAGGTCAAGTGAGGTCACACTCTGCCTTCTCATGGCAGCTCTCCTACTGGGAACAGAGCCTTTTTTTTTTTTTTTTTTTTTTTTTTTTTGTACACTTAGTGCCACATTTTTCACATTTTTGCTTTTTGCTGGTGACTTTGCTGTTTAAAAGGCTCCTAAGCATAGAGCTGAATTTAAGTGGCCTTAAAATTTGTACTAACATGAATATGCTTTCATTTAGAAGGAAGGGAGGAAAGTAAGGATGAAGGGAGAGATGGAAGGAGGGACGGAAGGAGGAAAAAAGGGAGACAGGGAGGGAGACACAAAAGATGTGCAAAGAATAGAGTGTCTTCTTTAAAATATATTTTTATATATTTCAGAGAGAGAAGGGAAAGGGAGAGAGAAACCTCAATGGAGAGAGACAATCTTTAATCTCCTGCCTCCTGCATACCCTACACTAGGGATTGAGCCCACACCATGGACATGTGCCCTGACCAGGAATGGAATCGAACCATGACCTCCTGGTTCACAGCTCAATGCTCAACTGCTGAGACATGCCTGTTGGGCCAGAATAGTGTGTCTTTAGGAAGAAAATAAGACACTAATAGCAATAAGGGAGGAGGGATTGGGTGTTATAGGCATGGGTAGAAAGTAGACTTTATTTTCAAAGTCTATTTTGATTTTCACACAGTTTTGTGTTTATATTTTATACAACTATATGTGTACATATACACGTGTAACAAAATGAAATCTGGCCCCAGAATCTCAGAGGAAACTGCCCTTTGGCTCATTGTGTGTGGAAGCAGAGCACTGAGGACAGGCCCTGAGGGACCGTCTGCTTGGCAGAATGCCCGAAAGAGAATGCTTGGGCCCCTGAGCAGCCAGGCAGTAGAGGTGAGGATGCCAGAAGTTTGAGAAAAGGAGGGGTTAGAGGAGGTAAGGGAGGGAGAGTCTGACCACATGTTGGCTGTGACCAGAGACATTTAGAATTCTGTGGAATCTGGAATTAGAAGCAAGGTCAGCACAACTCCACTATGCAGTAAGCAGGGCAGCAAGCTGAGTGCTGTTTCTGCGTTGTGCTGAGGCCAGGCCCATGTTGCTGACTTGACCTTGGGGTTGCAATTGCAAAGAGGCAAAAAAAGGGCTCCTATTGCAATGGGCTGTCTGCTGGGAGGCCCATGGGAAAGGTCTAGAAGGCTCAGCCTTGACCTCTGAGAGGCTGCTCCCACACGGTGAAACCAGCCTTCCCTCAGGGTTCATTCCAGGTGTAAACACCTGATTCTGTGAAGTCAGAGGTAATAACATCAGCTACCCTTTTAAAGTCCCTAAAACGGGCCACAATCCACCAAACATCACCAGGTAGATGGTTTCCCCATTTCATAGCTGAGGTCATGGAATTTCATAGATACAGAGACTCCCCTGGGCTTCCACAGCCAATGCCAGAGCCAGTTCCCGTGCAAAACCAGGTGCCTCTCCTCAAACCTCACGCTCTTCCCACAGAGGAAAGAAAGCTGCCTCTGACCCTAAAGCTCTCTCTCACCTGATGACACCGATGGGTCAGTATCAGTGAACTCCTCCCCACCCTCCCAACCCCGGGGCTTGGGTGTGCACTATCATGAAAAATGTGCTTCATTTTGAAAGTTGTGTAGACCAGATTCTTAGAAATTTCTAGACCCAGTATCTGCCCCACCCTAGAGGAGCTCATTTAGACTGAAAGTGTGACTTTCTGGAAAAATACCCCGAGAGCTTTCATTTAATTATCTATTGATGTGAAGCTCTAAAGTTGTCTTCTCTCATGCCACCCAAAACCTGATCCACAAGGCCAGAAACCAAGAACTGAGGTCCGTTGACCAACAGTTTGGCGTGCCCCCAATTTACTTTGGAAAATCTGGCATTCTCTTTCTTCATGGGAATGGCAGGACCCCTACCTACTGGTACTGCTGATGACATGTGGGCCATGGCGGTGTCGGTCTCTCTGCCAGGTAAGCCTCTGGTTCTAAGCTCAGAAACTAGTTCCTGCTCCATAATGAGCCTCTAGGGGCTGACTGCAGGCTGGCCAGGCTGGCTGCAGAGATGACAGGAGGCTGGTTCCACTCCAGCCTCACGGGAAGTGTGTGCCCTGGGATGAAATGCAGCTCCCAGCACAGATGTGCTTACGTTTTCCTGCACACTGTAATGGTCACTGCTGTAATCGTTGTGAAGATCTAAAAAACATTCAGCAAGCCAACCTGAAAGGGATGGATTTTGTTGCCCCAAAGACACCGAAACCAAGGAATTGAAAGCAGGCTGTGATGGTTTATATCCGCATGATCCCAAGGAAAGACATCTGCTCAATCATTTTAAAGGGAATTTTGGCAAGTTCAGGAGTATGATGTGGGGCCTTCTGCATTTCCCCCAGGCTCCGTGCGCTGAGAGGCCTGGCCTCTGGCTGCTGTTCAAATGGATTTCACAGGGAAATGCATTGTATACAGCCAGGTCTTTTGGGTAAATCTCAGTCGCTTTCTTAAATCTTTAATTTGCCAATTGTACATTGCAAAAATTAAGTGAACCTTCCCACCCACCCTGCCCTCAACCCCACACCATACCCAGTGGTAACCACTGATAACTCATGCCAGGCTAAGGGAGGGTGGGTTACCTTGAACTCAGCACCACCGACTGCACTCAATGGAGAGAGACAATTACCCTCCCCACAGAATGGTCTTTTAGAGAAGGCTAAGGATGCAGAGGTTTGCGCTCTCCGCTTCTCACTCCACACAAATCCCTACGTGCCCAACAGAGATGCCTTCAAATAAAAAGGAGATCAGATCTAGAGATGAGAGAGGAGCGGGGAAACTTGGAAAAGAACCAAAGGCGGGAAACAGAGATGGGTTCCTGAATAACCCACTGGAGGGCAGCGCATGGTGCACACCCCGAACAGGGTGGTGGATGCCAGGTGCCCACCCCAGAGTGTGTGTGGACTTCAGGGGCTCATCCCAGACAGGGTGGTAGATTTCAGGTGTCTACCCTCCTCTCCAGCTCCAGCCGCAGATGCAACCACAGCCTTGAAGTCCCAGGTGCCAAAGGTCTTCACAATAAAATATCTGGTGAACGGTTCCTCCCCCTGTGCCCGAAGCCACTCAGTGAAAAAACACACTGGGAGTAGAGAGCAGGTGATATTGAGCTGCTTTCTCTGGGGACAGAAGTTCAACATCAGGAAGACAGCTTGGGAGGTGGGAACATTGTCCATGAAAAGTTGCTGCTTTCCCATGTGTACTGTGTTGAATGGATTCTGGCCTCTTACTAAATTCCTAAAAAACAAAATCCCAAATGAATGGCCTTAACCGAAGGTAAGGAAGAGAAGTTACTAGCAGAAACCAGAGAGAATGATAAAATCAGATATGCCTCACACGAGATATATATAATGTAAAGGCTATTTCTTCTTACATCTGTCTGGACAGATTTCAGAAAACCACCATCAAAGGGTTCTGTATTTATTGGAGAGAAAACTTGAGGTTGCATGGGTCTGCTCTTTTGTTCCTTGGGAACTGACTCTTTTCATGTTCCCTAGGAACTGAGTCTTTTCATGTTCTCCAGTGCAGCTGTTTCAAATTGTGTCCACTCCCAAACTCCAATAGGACACAGTGACTGCTCCCCTTAATCTCAGCAAGTGGCCTTGTTTCCTCCTTACTGAGACAAAGCCATCTGACACTAGACTCCTTGGTTTTCCTCCTGCACACCAATACACGGAGGCAGCGTCGTTACCCATATTTCTTCCTGTCACGGGAAGGTTATGACCTCTCGTCTGAGCCTCCTGCCCACAGCTCCAACCTTGCTGGTGGAAATTCAAATTCATCATGGCTACACTGAGCACCTTTCCCCCAAACCAGCCGCTTCTCTTGGTTTTCCCTTGCCTGCTGAGAGCACCCCATTCTCGCCATCCTCCTCTTTCTCTTGCCCTTATCATCATCATCATCCAGGGGTCAAATCCTGTTTGTTCTGCTTCAGCAAGATCTTTTGCGTCTCTCTCCATTCCCTTCCTATTTCCAGACAGTGCATGGCCTATGGAAACTCCTCCCCGCTTCCAGCCTTCCCATCACCAATCCCAAGCCCATTAGTCCATGCTAGACAATGTTGCTATTTCATTTTCTAATACACAATCTAAACTACTCACTTCAGAAGCACTGGCTGCCACGTTAACGTCTAAACACACTGGCTTCGAAGGCTTGTCACAAACTGGGGGACTTCTTTTCCCACTGCTCAATCTATTCAGTCATGGAGATGATTTTCCCTGAGGCATATACCATCTCTATTTTCTCTTTGCTCCTGCCTCTCTTTCCATCCATCTCACTTGATGAAATGAAAGACGGCCCAGCCTTACCAGGCCCATTCAAAATGCAAGATGCCATAAGCCTTCCTCTTTCAAGGTTTATCTTTCTCTCTCGCCCCTGCCTCAATAGAATCCCTAGCTTCTCTGCCTTTTCTGTTTCGCTTCTGCTCTCCTCCAACCCTGTTCTTCCCTTGGGCGCTGGCTTTCAGAAAAGAAAAACAGCACACATTTCTGCCTTGTATCAGAGTTACGTGAAGTTTTCCTTCTTTGTTCCCTATCTGAGCAGGTAGCTGACCCCCCATCACTTGCGTCTGGGAGGTAAGTGAGAGGATGAGAAGCAGAAGGAGTCTGGCTTTTCTTTTCTGAGAGCCGGAGCCCCGGGGAAGAACAGGGTTGGAGGAGAGCTTTCTTAGTGGCTTGGGAAAATAGGACAGAAACACCCGTTTGGAGGGAGATCAAGTTCTTCAGGTTCTGCTTCCTGGCAGGGGCCTGTAGGGGTAAGACCCCAGAGAGGAAGACCTCTGGTATGGAGCACCTGGGAGCTGAGGCCCTGGTTACTGACATCCCAGCCTCGCCCAGAAGCAACAGATGGCCACCAGGAATGAAGGGACAGGGGGGCAGACACAACGGGATGGGCTGATTAGCAGAGGACCTTCTCCAAAGCCCCTGTCACTGCGTAAGATCCTTGGAACCTTGACCCAGCCCTCTGGCCAGGCTGGGGTGGGGGATGGAGAGCAGAGCATAACTGAGATGACATTTCCCATTGGCCCAGGAGGGTGGGGTTAAAAATAAAACAACTGTAGAAAATAGACTCTATATTTTGTATAATCTGAACTTGTGGATTGATATTCATTCTTGAAATGATGGGAAGTGAGCTTGATGGAAGGTGCTCAGGGAAGGCCTTTCAGAAGGCTGATCTCTGAGCAGAGTCTGGGGAAAAACTCGCCTGCTCTTGAGAGACTCCAGGACCCGCAGGCCTACCCAGGGCTCAGACCCAGAGAACAGAATGAAAGCTCACCATCTGACCGGGAAGGAGGGGCCGGTGATGAATGAGCCAAGGGAGGCAGAATCCCAAGGGAAAGCCTGGGGACCAGTTCTGCTTCGCTTCCTCACAGGGTAACACACACACAATACGCGCTCAGACAGTATTTCTGGAATAAAGGATGGGGCAGACCTGGATATTTACGCTACCCTGAGAAGTAAGAGTGAACATGTACAAATACGAGTGTTTCAAACACAGGGTGACCCAGAAGCCAAGGTGGCCCACAGATAGAACCCATTCTAAACTTTTCATACAAACCCATCCAGCCCTTTATGATTGGCAGATTCTCCCCCCCCACACACACACACACACCGCATTGAGACAATGCCATGTTCTTTTATGCACTTTTTAACATCCTCCTGGATTCCCTGAGACGCTCTGTACCTCTAACTGGTTTCAGCAAAGTGGTCACAAGGCAATCGGTGCCTTCACGGACCACAGGAGGTGCCCAGCAAGACACCAAACCCTGTAGGTGGAGACAGAGGAATAGCCCACTAACCCAGATGCCCCCGCTGGCCCCTGGCTCCAGGATGCCAATGTCCATCCTCTAACACAGGGAGAGGCCCTTGTCTCAGTAACAGAATGGTGCCTCTGACATTCTCCCCTCTCCAGGCGGGCCTGAGGTGCAGGGACACTTCCCAGAGAGGCCTTGCTTTCAGCTCCTCCTCACTCTCCCTCTGGGTGGAGGACTCGGTTTGATTCCACATCTGCAGCGTGTCAGAAAGGAGCCAGGCCATTTTTAACAACGAAACAGCGAAGCGCACAACTTCACGTTAGAAAATATAAAACACGTTTATTTTCAACGTCCAGGATTATAAACTCTTCAACTATGAAAATAAATACGGACCTGGGTTTTTAAAGAAACCAGAAATGACTTCATAGACATCAGATCGGGCAGCCTCTGCCCTCCCATCTGCTTCAGGGATGGCAGACGGCTCTTTCTATCGATAGAAGAGTCTGCGCTGAGGTGTCTGCTTAAACACCCCCCCCCCTCATCGCCCCCCGCAAGAAGTAGAAGGGCGTGTTCATGGCCAAAAGGGAAGGCCCCTCCATAAGTGTTTTCGGAGCAAATGCAGGTTTTCTAAGTGAACGAACCTTGTTATCACCTGATGAGGTTTGGGGCTGGTTGTTGAAGCTGCTTTTGCCCACAGATTTATTCAAGATCTGCGTTACTGAAAGGAAGACAAACCTAAGGCAGAAAAAGTGAATGAGAAATTGAAGGGGAGAAATAAGCAGGGCCAGATGGAGAGGGGAGGCCAGGTGCCCCGGGGGGGGGGGGTTGTGTCTGTGGACAGAAGCAGTGCCCCTGGGCCAGCACCGTCCAGACCCTCCCATCACTGGCCACGCAGAGGAATCGCTCCTTTCTTCCTCTCTCCCTTCCTGCCGCTTCTCTTCTGTCCTTCCCCTCTCTCCCTGCGGCACTGGGGACTTTCTAGTTGGAACTTTTCCTGATGAGAAGGCCTGGGGTGATGGGGCTGGGTACCAAGAAGGCAGACCGGTTGGATAAAATGGAGCAGAGCCTGTAGGCCGGTAGGCACGGTGTCTCCTCCCTCTCCCCACACTCTGCATTTTATGAAAGGGCTCCGTTCAGGAGACAGTAAATGGTGCACCGGCCGCCTGGCAGGCTGTCCCGCAGTCGCTTCCCGGTGGCCCGTTGGAGGATTTGAGCTTCACCAGACCTGCGCATGTGCTCCTAACTCCCTCCGTGGCTGCCAGTGCCAACAGATGCAGCCTCTGGCAGCAAGGCTGGCTTCTAATTGCTAATATCCTCCCCCTGTAGCACTCAGCCTGCCAGAGTCACTCACAGCGCGAGGTCTGACTCTTCCCCAGAAAGAGGATATTTTTTCCTGCTTGGTAAGATGGTTTCCGGAAAACAACCCTCTCCGAGGGGCAAATACACGGGAGAGTTCTCATCCCCCTCAGCATCACCTGAGGGATGCAGGGTCTTGGTGCTGCAGGGAGAAAGGCAATGGCAGGAATTCCTTGTGGAGTCTTCTTTTACTCACGCTTTTATCGCATTTACTGTGACTTCGCCCAGTGAGGGAAGGACAGTAGCTTGCTCATCAGATCAACACTTGGTTAATGTCTCCATTCATCCCCCAGCCCTTCGGAGGAGCTCCGGGAGCTGCGTGCAGACAGGGTCCTTGGTCTGCGGTGTTCAGCCTCGTATCCGCAGCTCCTCCTCGAGTACCCGGCACTTCCCAAGTGTTCGTTAATGCTTATCCTGGAACGAAGTGGGATATTTTCTAATGGCAACCGAGAGTCTGGCCATCTGTTGTAGTGACTGATGCAAAACAGAATTGCCTATCGCAGAGCTAAAGAGGAAAAATTTGACCCAGTTTCACTCAGGAGCAGGGAGACTCTTAAAATAGATTTTTATCTAGCTTGCTTTCAGTGTGCACACTGCCACTAGAGATTTCGAAAGGCAACTCCTTCTTCCATTCCAGACACATACTGCATTTCATTTCGGGCCGTGGCCAAGCCTGCCAGCAACTACAAACAGATTGTTCCCCTGCGCTGTGCTGAGAAGAGGATTCCAGACCCCAGCCAAAGGGATGTACTTCTAATTAGAGAGGCTGCAAAGAAATGCTCTCCGTTCTCTTCATTTGGGGGTAAGCAAAGCAGAAGTGCATGTATAATTCTAAAACCTACTCCATATTGTTTTATTTTTCATCATTTTCAGCTACTTGATCCAGTGGCTGAGGATTTGAGAAAATATAAAATTTCAACCTCTGCTTTTCATAGCTAGAAAAAGCTGAGCTCATAGAACTCCAGCAGCTGTTGGCCAAATCCCAGAGGAAGCGTGCAGTGATTCTTGAGTGACTTTTTTTTTTTTTAAGTCTCTTATTCATAATGAAATTATAAATTAAAATCCAGACTGCTGTACAGGCTTTTCCCAGAGAGGCAGTCTGTTTCCGAAAGTGCTGACAGCGAACGAGACGGCCTGCGCTTCCCCCCACTCTGACCGGGCGGGGATGAAAGAGGAAGACGGAGACCTTAGACGGAAAGTCCGATGGAGACCTAAGAGGTCTGGGTTTTCCTTAAACCCAAGCACAGGGACTATGCACCAGCAAAGAGGGAAGACCAATTTGTGACCCTGTCAGACCTGGAGCTTCTCCTAGCCCTGTGTCTGCTTCACAACAGACGAGTGGAATTCCAGGGACGGAAGAGCATAGCAATAACCTCCCAAGTGCCATGGAGAAGGTGGACTTCCCGTGTTCATCCCAATTCCATCCTTTTAAATGCAATGACCAGCCTGGCCAGTGTGGCTCCGTGGTTGAGTGCTGACCTATGGACCAGGACGTCATGGTTCGATTCCCCATCGGGGCACATGCCCGGGTTGTGGGCTCCATTGCCAGTGGGGGGCATGCAGGAGGCAGCTGATCAATGATTCTCATCATCAATGTTTCTCTCTCTCCCTCTCCCTTCCTCTCTGTAATTAATAAAAAAATATACTTAAAATAAATAAATAAATAAATAAATAAATAAATAAATAAAAGCAATTACCATAAAGTGTGTGTATGATCCAGCTGAGGACTGAACCAGTGCCTGTGGCTATCTAGAAAATGAGCAAATCAATGCATCATTTACCTTGGGTCACTGCTGCTTAACGTATTAAATGTTCAGTGTAAATTAGTGAGTTAATTGTAGTAAAAGTGATCATAAATGTTAAGTGTGATTATTCCTGAAATACAAAAAAAAATTCCTTTTCATGCCTTCTCGTTTTTTTCAAGTATTTGTAAGTATAATCCATGCATAGCTTCTAGGATTCAGCCCCACAAACAGGAAATGTGGTTGGCTAGCACTGATGCTTCTGAAGGTTAACCGCATTTGGCTGTTGATGTCTTACCAGCATCCACTTGGTTTTTAGAAATAGATTTTGTTAATTGGCTGGCAATGAGGTTGACAATGAGCGTGGCTACAAAAAGCAGCTTTGTTTTTGGCTCTTATTTAGAACTGTCATAACTTCACAGCTTGGATTGGATGAGGGGGTTGTGCCTTAAAGAGATTATGTTGAAGATTATAGACATGGAACCCTCGTGGACCACGGCTGGATAGTTGCTTTAAGGAAGCAGCCCGTTGCCTGCTGGCCAAGATGCTGGGGAATGCTTGCAGATTCCTGTCACAGCCTAAGTTGCCGTGAAAGTGTAGAGCACTACAGAAAAATTCTCTTAAGGAAAATGGGGTTGGCATAGCAACTGTAAACAAGACCCTACCTTTCCCATTTTAGAAAGTTCAAACAAGTCTAGGGGCTGGAAGCAGATGCCGGAATGGTCTGAATGCCTAAAAGATGAGAAGATAGCAAAAGTGCTGTTTAATTAATTAAAGAAGATAAAATCCAAAAACAGAATTGTAGGGTGGTGGTAGGAGAGAGACAGCCAGGCCTTCATTCTTCAGCCCAGCGGAAGAAGACTATCAGATGGCTGAGATAGGGATGGAGGCAGCCTCTCACGGCCAAGGCCATTGTGCTGGTCCGGGCAGCTAGCCAACCCCAAGGTGGACCAAGGTGACTAACTGCACAGGCTGAACAAGAGCACTGCCCGCAAGTCATTTAAAATAGCTCATATTTTGTTTCATTTTAAAATTTATTTTCAATGACAGTTTGCATGCAATATCATTTTGTGTTAGTTTTGAGTGTACAGCATAGCAGTTAGACACCACACATCATTATTATTACAATATTAATTTACATCTCCTTGACTATTTTGTAACTGCCAACCTGTACTTCTCAATCCCTTCACCTTTTTCACCCAATTGGCCAACCCCACTCCCTTCTGGCAACCAGTAGATTGTCTAACCACTATGCTGTACATCTGAAATAATACAAAATAATATTGCATATAAACTATAATTGAAAAAAATATATAATAGTAATAAAATAATGTATAACATTAAAATATTTTATAATTAAGGAAACTTTTTTTACTTTTTTTTTTTTTTTAGGAAGCATTACCTCCATGAAAGGTATTTGGAAAAAGGCCAATAATAAAAGTAACTAAACCTCAATTTGTGCCACTACCCTATGTGGCAGTATGAGCTGTGTCATCGGCTCCTTTAAGAGAAAGCCCAAGGCCCATGAACTTGAAAAAACATAGGTTCTTCTCAGTCTGCCAGGCAGTGATGGATTCAGATAATCATGGAGAAGAGCGGTCCCACTAGCCAGCCCCCTACACACCACGCTTACACATTCATACGGTGACCTCATATCAAGCCTTAAGGAGCTTGCAATTCATTTGCAAGATATAAGGCCAGCAGGTGGGAGGGCAATATTTTAGAAAACCTATTAAGCAATAAATAACTAGCTGCAGATGGACACGCTCTGGATTCCAGAGTCTAGTTTAATCCCATTTCAGCATTGCACAAGAGTTTTGGTGGGTGCAATTCCCAACTAGGGAAGATACAAGTGTTGCCAAAAGTATGTGTTGACAATACTTTCCTAAAATGGAAGTATCATTATTGCTCTTACTGACAAAAAATAAAAAAAATAAAAAACATTGAGAGCAACTTAAATCTCCATTATCCGGGTCTTATATAAACATGATGCATTCCTTTTTTAAAAAACTAGAGAATGAGGAAGCTCGTTTTATATGAATATGGAGAGATCTCTCTATCACACAGTGTCCAAGTAGGAGAGTCAGAAACACTCTATATATTTCAAGCAGAGAATAATGCAATGTAGGGGCCTAGTGAAAAACTGCTGGAAGTCACTGAGGGACACAAGGAGGTGGAGGCTCTTACCTAAAGGCTGGGAAGCTGGCCTGACCCTCCCTGCTGGTGCCTGTAGCAAGAGCAGCCAAGCCCAGCTGCAGTCCCTGTGCTGCCTGTAGCCAGGAAATGGTCAGTCTCCTCCTCCCATATTCTATCCTACTACTTGTGCCTCCCATTGAAGAATCTACCATGAAATCGGCTGGATGATTGAGTCTAGGAAGGGGGATGGAGGGAGTCTAGAAAGATGGATTTGGTCCTAACAGCCAAGAGAAACAATCGGGTCCATCCAATCTTTCACCATTCAGATCTAATGATACATTCCACTGTACCCATCCATCAGCATCCTCCTCCCACTAACAATGCAACTATAATCCTCACACAGAGGAATGCAGGCTCAAAAGTGGGGAACACAGTGGGGCCACTCTGAGGAAGCTTTCTCAGCCATTGTGTTCACCTCTGGATGATGTCAATTCCTCTTCCCTCTTTTTATCTTTTAATTCTACTTTCAGTTGCATTGAGCATTCGATATTATTACCGTATTTTTTGGACCATAAGACGCACTTTTTTCCCCCCAGAAGTGGGGGGAAAATGTCCCTGCGTCTTATGGTCCAAATATAGCCTACACATATACTTTAAAAAAAAAGTTTTTACTTGCCCGGCTCTGTGTGGTCTCTGTGTGCTTGCCCAGCTCTAAAATGGTCCTAAATGCTGCTGTTTACTTTACAGGGTTGATTACATGTGTTTATGACTGTGATGTTGGGTTTTAATGCACATAAAATATTTTAGGACACTATTTGTTTCAGAATCTTGTTTTCTTCATTTCCCTTCTCTAAAAACTGGTGCGTCTTATGGTCCGGAGCGTCTTATGGTCCGAAAAATACGGTATGTATTAGTTTCAGGTGTACAGCATAGTGGTTAGATTAATTATATACTTTTACAAAGAGGTCCCCCCTTTTATTTCCAGTACCCACCTGGTACCATACATAGTCATTACAATGTTATTCTCTGTAATTCCTCTTCTCTTTCAGTTGCCACTGAACCTTGGATATTCTGTAATCTGAAGGCTAAATTGTAAAGTTAACCGCCAACCACACATAACAAGCAAAGAAGAAAATATGCACAGCTACTAAAGTTCTTGTTTTCACAACCAGTACCAAAACCTAGTTCACTGATAATGATAACATTTGAACAATAATTAAAAATTAGTTTCTTCCTGTGTCCATTCTATGTTCCATTTGCCTTTAGCCAAAGTCTCGGTGGTTTGGGGTTCTTTCCTGAGAGGATGACTTAAACCTTCATTTCTGACTATTTCAATGACTTTTTTTTTCCCCCATAATGGAGCCAGTTCAACATATAAACTTGCTATCAGGAGGTTGGCTGGTGCCCCTGGGAATGATGCCATACCAGGGAGTGACAGCTGGCTGGTCTCTGCTGTCAGCAAATTAGGTATTCAGCAATGACAGTAGCCAGATCAGCCCTGGTGAGGGGAAATCCCTATTTCTAAGTCCTATGCCTAGCTTCTATCCATTCCATAATGGTCACACTCTGCATGAGCCTACTGAGCAAGCCTGTGGGGGCCTGAAGAGGGGTGACTGATATTCATTGAATGGCTCTTCCTTTCCAATCAATTATTGAGTCCTTCATCAGTGGGTGCCCTATGGGAAGCAATCACATAGTACAATGCCCATACAAAGTGGTCCATCTGCAAACCTATTCTTTAAACTCCCTTGTCACCAATATGCCAGTCAATCCACTAGCTACCCATGAATTGATATAAATCCCTCTGCCTCTGGCCATCTATCCACCTAGACAAAGTGGACAACTATTCATTGGTCAGCCTTGAACTTCCCTTACTTCCACATTCCTGATTTGGACTGCAATGTTTCAGTAATCCATATCAACCTGGTGCCTTCCAGTGATAAAGGACCATCTGTAAACTTGGCCCAAATTATATTTTCCTCTGGTCAACTGTCAATCCCCAAAGGCCATAGGTGTAGGTTTAGGTAGAATTAAAATGCAGCTCCTGGAGGTGCTATGGGAGTCAGAGCCTCCTGCTCATGAAACTTACTTGTGTATGGAGGACCTACACAACCCTACTCTTGCATACACTGTTTACCCTGGATGATAGACTGCTACTGTGTATGCCCAACCTGTATTATGTTGAGGAGCACAAGGGACTTGGTTGGAAAGTTGTCAGGAGGACATTCTGAGAAAAGGGAAGTGTGTGGAAGGCCACCTGCTCTGTTTATCGGAATTCCAACTCAGGGAAGACTTAGGGGATGTTGAAAGTGGTGCCCCTAATTATTCCTTGACCTTTGCAAACAAGTCTGTGCATGTGCTGACCCCTGGATGTTTATTGGAATCTCTATGCTTACTCCCTGGATGCCTTTGCCTAGAGGACAATGTAAACACATGTGTCCTCCCAAGATTACTCACCCTGCTGACTGTATCTAAAATATAAATTTTATCTCAAACTGCTATTACAATAAAAGACTAACAAGGCAGGCAATGGAGGCTGCCTGGTCCCTTTGGCCAGGCCATCCCTTAGCCCTCTCTTTCATAGTGAAACTGTGTTGGAGTAATTTGTTCATCCGTCATTCAGGGGCTGCTGGTCAGCTCCGGCAGTATTAGTCATCTATTGCTGCTTAACAAATTATCCCCAAACTTAGCAAATAGCAATTGTCATCTTATGTGGTTTCTGAGAGTCAGAAATCTGGGAACAGCTTAGATGGAAGGATCTGGCTCAGGGTCTCTCACAAGGTTGTAGTTGTGCCCAGGTTTCGTGATCCCCAAAGACTACCAGGGAGTCGAGTCCGATGCAATTGCAGAAAACCTGTATTTCGGACTAGCCCAAGCTCGGTCCCACTTACACCGACAGACAATGGCATGGCGGGAAAGAGAAAGAATTTAACATATCAATGGGTTTTATAGGGGTGGTGATGTCACTTCTTTGGCTGACCCTGATTGGTTGGGTTAGGGCTAAGGTCCAGTTTCACAAAATAGAGTTGGGAGTTGCCCCACAGTACAAAATGTAGTCGGGAGTTGGCCCCGCCCTGCCTTCTCACAGTCAAGCTGTCAGCCAGTGCTTGACTCACCCTGAGGCTTAAGTAGACATGCTGCAGACCAGTGGTCCTCAAATGGGAACAATTTTCCCTCCCTCCCTGAGGATATTTGGCAACATCTGTAGAGATGTCAGCTGTCACAATTAGAGCGGAGTGTTGCTGCTGGAATCTAGCCGTAGAAGCCAGGGATGCTGCTCAACAGCCTACAGTTCTTGGGATAACCTCCCACATCGAATCATTATTTGTCCCCAGAATGAAAACAGTGCCAAGGTTGAGAAATCCTGCTAGCGAGCCTTCTTTTGTTCTGGTCCTCACACAAAACTGACTGCCTTGTGGATGACTCAAAACAGTGCTATGAAAAATACACTCAAAAGAGTCTATGTTATCCCCCAAATCAAGAGATGGTCAAAAACATTGTAGCTCACTCTTAGTGAGAGGTGGGACCAAGTAGAGCCAATTTCCTTTCACTTTCAAAAGGAAATGCCAGTATTTTCCCAGACTACTGGACCCCTGGAATCTTTATTGAGGTAGGTGGCCTTTGATTTTTCTTGGGGTTTCTCTCCCACCCTCTGGCATACATATGTCTTGTTAGGCATTTCCTATGCACCATGTCAATAACATAGCATACCAGCATAATGTTCTGAAGAATATCAAGATGATCAAGACCTTGTCAGAGAGCAGAAGAGTCAACATAGGCCTGAGGTTAAGACAAGTGACTGTGTTTTGCGATCCTTCTAGTTGAAAGAAAACTCCATCTGGCGATCTTTCCTAATTTGGTATTGAGGGGGGGAAAAGCATCTGCCAGATCAATAGCTGCATACAAAGTGCCTGGAGCTCTGTTGTGTCATCCTCTAAAGAGACTACATCTGGTCCAATACCTGAATAATTTTACAAGACTCTGCAGTCATTCACCAATAACTGTCTTCCTCTGCACATGCCAAACATGAACAAAGGCAGACATGGTAGAATAACCCCTGAATTCTGCAAGAGTTAGATGGTAATGAGAATCTCCACAATTCCCCCAGGGCTAAGGTATTACTTTCAGTTTGTTCTCCCACAGGAAGAGGGGATTCAGGAAGTTACTGTGTGGCTCTGTCTACCATAATACAGCTACTACAGGGGTTAGGGAATTAATAGGGGGCGTGTGGGGGTGTTCTTCTAGTTGTTGAGGATGACCTATGACAACTCCATTTAAGAATGGGAAAATAACACACAGTGTTATTGGACCCCATGAGACAGCCAGGAGCCAACTTTCATTTATCACCTAATTTCCACAAATGACATCCTTCCCCCATTCAGGTGGTCCGAGGGAATTTGGGTCTTGAGAGATTAGCAAGGACTCAGAATCAATGTCCATAATCTCCGAAAAATCTAGACCCCCTTTCCTCCGTGCACAGACACTCTGGTGACTGGCTGCAGATCTTTCGGGGAAGACTTAAAGGGAGATTTGTGCCAGACACTTGCAGCAAATGTTGTAGGGTTCTCTCATCTAAGGTTGGTCGTCTCAAACCTTAGCATACATGGATTCAGCTGAATTCCTTGCTAAAACTAAGAGTCTCTGTGCCCCGTAGAGCTGGGGGGGGGGGGGGGGGCTGAAAATTTGCATTTCCAACAAATTCTCAGGCGATGGTGCTGCTGTTACTCTCTGGACAGTTTGAGAATCTGATCTGAGGATTTCCATGTCTTTGAACTGATTCAGATCTGAGACTTGGGTGACAGGCTAGCTATCACCATCCCTGGAACAAAGGTTTCTGTTCACTAGACCTAGGGATTTACAATTACATAAAGCAAGTAATTTTTAGCAGACTGCCCATCTATTTTGGTGCCAGGGCCACCATGAGTCATTGGCCAATACCCAAGATCCGATGTGCTAAAATATTCCGCTTGCTGCTCCCGGCACTCTGCCCATCACAGTCACTGCATCCACCGTGCTCCTCCTGGCCGGGAAGGGCTGCCACTTGGCTCTGCCCCTCCAGGAGCCTGTCATCTGCTGGAATCAAGAAGCCTATTTTAATGAAGGTGTCTTTTCTTTCATCAGTGGGTCCCTGAAGAACTCTCAGATGAGAGACTTAACTTGAAACATCTGCCAGGTCTGCAGGGGGCTGACCACAACAATATCAATCAGGAAAGACCTTCCCATGTTTCTGACTACTCTGTCTCCCCAGATCCCCATCCTGGAGGGACAGAAATTGTGGGCAGCATGACAAGGTAATACTAGTAGACTCACTCAGTGGGCAAAGAGAGAAGCTGATCGCAACCTTACCCCTGTTTCAAGCTTCTCACCTGCTTTGAAGACTAGAAGGAGTCTTAGCTGCAAAGCAATGCTTTGGTTATTACCTGCATTTTAATTACTGAAATCAGAGTGTGTGTTGTGATTAGAGGTCCATTTATAATAGTTAAGAGTGACCAGAGAAAACGAGTGGCAGCCTGAGTTTCCGTCCAGGTGATGGTGAAGAAATTTCCATGGAGTGGATTCTAAAAAATACCGGGAACTGCAAAGCAGGGTGCTTTATCATTGAATTCTAAACCCTGCATGTTCAACGGATATGGCAAATGATGTAGAAACATACAGAGATGGTCACATGGCCATAGAGAAGGTGAAAGCGAGCAGAAAGAGAATGTGGGGGAGCCAGCTAGTATTGTAAAAAATATGAATCATGCTCTGTGAATCGTGATTGTCTTATTCTGATTAAAGAAGGCACGTCTAACTGGCTGGAGCTGGCCTGGAGTTGCAGCCCTTCCTCCCCATTTGGAGCTGCCTGTTATCATGGAAAGGTTAACAAAGGTTAGAGAAATCAGAATCGCCAGCCCTTTGAAGATCTCCAGCCCTCCTTTGCACACCTGCAGGCCTTTGCAAATCTCCAGCCTGCTTACCGGTTGGTTTTGGCACTCCATTTGGCTATTTCCCCATGTAACCCCAACCCTTGCATATCCTTAAGCCCTTTGAAGACCCCTAGTTCTTTGGCATTATCTGTAAATTGCCCCTTTGCTGTATAAGCAGCCGGCTTGTGGGAGGCTGCAGAGCAGATTTTTGTGGCTGACCTGTTGCTTTCCCATGCTGCCGGCAATACTGGAATAAATGCTCATATATGATTCAACCTGTCTCTGCTTACTTAGCTCGAGTAGTGACAGGCAGCACGGACCCATTGTTTGTCCACTTACACAGAAAGGGGATGAAACAAGGTGATCCCAGACACAGCCCCAGCTTCCCAACTTCCCAAAGGACCACAGGGACAGGCAGCTCTGGAAGGTACTATCCTGAGCAGTGAGGGCTCTGACCTGGCCTAGAAGCTCCCTTGTGGGCTCTCATACCCTCCTGGCTTCCCCTCACAGCAGATTGTTCCAGAGACTCTACTAACGTGCCCATTACCCTCAGAGCGTGCCAAACAACCCAGGGTGCTCCCGGGTGTCCATGAGAAGACCGGGAGAAATGCACGGTAATTTCATGGAGTATCCTTCAGGAGGCTTAGTCTTTAGATCTGGCCGAGGTGCATTCTTTAGTTCCAAGTATCTTTAAGAGGTAATAACCACTTTTTTCCAACCTACAAAATAAAATAGCCAACAACAACAAACAAAGCTAAAAGCATTCACGTGTGAGGCATATCAACTGCATTTTGGAAATTAAATGGGAATGCATAGGGGGCTGCAGGTGTGTCCTTAACCCATCCGTTAGCGCTCTACCAACAGACATATCTGCTCCTGCCCACAGCGAGGGCCAGTGCTGTGGCTGAGACCTTTGATCTTGAATCCCACTCCAGCATATGGCGCTGCTAAGCGTAATCAAAGTGCAAATCTTTATAGAAAATTACAGAGACTTTGAAAGGAGGATGAAGGCTTCCTTCCTCTAATTTCCTTCCCTGCCAGGTTCCTGGTCTTAAGTGAAAAACATTTGGACTTTTGATTAAATCTGTAAGCACTTTGAGGGCATTTACACTGTATATAGTCAGTTATTGGACTGTCTGAGATTATTTCCATGACTGTGATTGACAGACTGTTTCTTGCCAGGACAGAGCCATAGTCTCCAATGGCATGGGTATGAAATTGCCTCCCTACACAGGGACATTAGACAAAGGAGACAACTTCAGCTCAGGGGGTGAGGTGACAAGGTGGGGGAGGGTGGCTGACACATGTACATGCAGGTTTTGATAATGTCATGAAAAATTTACAGGATGAGTTGCTAATCCTTAAAGTTGAAACTCATCAAAAGAGGTGCCCCCTACAAACATTTTCAAACTATTAATTATAAACTGAGATCAAGTTGTGAGAAAAACATTGATTTTTTTAAAGAATTAAATTCCTTTCAGATTTATCCACTGAAGAGAGTGGAGACAATTTTTTTCTTTTTTAATTTCTTTATTGATTAAGGTGTTACATATGTGTCCTTATTCCCACATTACCCCCATCCCTCCCTCATGCCCTCACCCCCCTGTTGTCGGTGTCCATTGGTTAGGCTTATATGTATGATACAAGTCCTTTGGTTGATCTCTCCCCTTTACCCCCACCCTCCCCTACCTTCCCTCTGTGGTTTGATGGGCTGATCGATGTTTCTCTGTCTCTGGATCTGTTTTTGTTCATCAGTTTATGTTATTCATTCCATTCCTAAATGAGTGAGATGACAATTTCTGAACTAGAAATTAAAATCGAAACTCGTGTTTTATCCGATTGGTCATCTTTGCCCTCTTACTAAGGGTCTGTTGGTAAGCTGGAGGAACTACGATGCACCTCTGTCCAGGAAAACAGGTCCCGGGCAAGTTTGCAACTTGGGAAAACTTTGTCCCAGGAAGGCTTTGTGTGTTGTATCTCATGGTTACTGAGGATGGTACCCAAGCCTTGAGCAAACTGTCTATGGCGTCTTCAAACTACGGCCGGCGGGCCACATGGGGCCCGCAGAGGAGTCTAATCCGGCCCGCCAGGTTTTTTGGGCAGTGAGCGCAGCCGAGGTGTTACAGTAGGAATTAGTAGTTCATATAGTCCGGCCCTCCAGCTCTCTGAGGGACCGTGATCTGGCCCCCACTTTAAAAAGTTTGAGGACGCATGGATACTAATGTAGTCATTAGGAAAAAGGAGAGAGATATCTGAAGAATCATTTAAAAAGTTAAATCCAGTACAGGTGAGGCCACTCTCAGCTGGTGGGCACTGGCACACCTGGGCTAGTTGTTCATGGCCTCTTCCATCCCGACCAGGAAGTGCTAAACCTGTTCTCACTGTACCAGTTGATGAATATTGTGAACATCACCCTGAACTGGCCTCATTAGTTGTACATAGAGATGAGTGTCAACAGGGGATAGTTTTATGAAGTTTAAGTTACGGGCTATGCTTGGTTTCAAAATGTTCAATCTTGTTTGAAATCTTTTAGGTGTAAACTAAGAGCTTTAGTTAAGCTACATTTTGTATTATCCAAGTGCACTTTCCAGTACACTTACCTTGTTACGACTTATCTCCTCTTGCAGGTTTATGTTTATCAGGGTTTAATAGAATAGATAATGTTTTTGCTTGAGGAGGGTGACGGGCGGTGTGTGCGTGCCTCATGGCCTTATTCAATTAAGCACTCTATTCTTAATTTACTGCTAAATCCTCCTTTGACTAGGATTTCACACTAATTTTCGTAATAATTATCCTCGGTCATGGGGAAATGTAGCCCATTGCTTTCCAATCCATGGGCTACACCTTGACCTAACGTTTTTATGTTAATATTTATGCTTACTGTGGTTCCTTTATTAGGGTTTGCTGAAGATGGCGGTATATAGGCTGATTTGGCAAGGATTGGTAAGGTATATCGGGGTTTATCGATTATAGAACAGGCTCCTCTAGAGGGATATAAGGCACCGCCAAGTCCTTTGAGTTTCTAGCTTTTGCTGGTAGTACTCTGGCGAATAATTTTGTTAATAATTTTTTATGTTTAGGGCTAAGCATAGTGGGGTATCTAATCCCAGTTTGGGTCTTAGCTATCGTGTAGTCAGAATTTTTAAAGTTACTTTCGTTGAGTATCTTACAGTAACTAAGGCTTTTTACAGCCTAGTTAGGGCTTGACTTTATTAGTAGGTTATACTCTAAAACACACTCTACGCCGATTGTCTATTAGTTTGGCCTAATCGTATGACCGCGGTGGCTGGCACGAGATTTACCAGTCCTTAGAAATATAACTTAGTCAGACTTTCATCTATTGCTTAATTTTTATCACTGCTGTTTCCCGTGGGGGTGTGGCTGAGCAAGGTGTTGTGAGCTACTTTTAGTGTGCTTGATACCAGCTCCTTTTACCAATAGTTGGTTAAAGGGCATTCTCACAGGAGCGGGGATTCTTGCATGTGTAAGTTTATTGATAACTAATAGAAAGGCCAGGACCAAGCCTTTGTGTTCATGGAGTATCTGTGAATACTCATCTAAGCATTTTCAGTGCTTTGCTTTATGTATTAAGCTACATTAACTCTTAGACTAGAATTATGACTAGTCTATATTGTACTTAATAGTGGGATTACAGATCTGAGGAGATGTCTGTCTAAGGAAGGCGAATCTTTAAAGTAAGGGGGTGCGGCCCCACTATCAACTATCAACACCTGGGTTCAGGAGCCAACTGTTTAGATTTTGGTCTGTACTCGATCATTACCATGGCAGATCATTCTAGAAGCTAACTAACTTCTCTAGTCCTTAGCATCTTCTCCTCCAAATCAGAAATGTGATTAATCTTCACCCAACTGCCTCATGAGACTTCTGTTGAGGTTCACACAAGACAGTAGATAGGAAAGCATTTTTTTAAAATAAAGCTTTTAATTAATTTAAGAGAAATACATAATAATTGTATATTGTTCAGAAAAATGCCAAAAAGTAGAGTGTAGATAATTATTCATGTTCTCACCACATAAAGACAACTGTTAACATTTTTAAACATTTTTTTCCAGCTCCCTATAAAAACTGACAATTCAGCCGAAACCGGTTTGGCTCAATGGTAGAGCATCGGTCTGCGGACTGAAAGGTCCCGGGTTCGATTCCGGTCAGGGGCATGTACATTGGTTGCGGGCACATCCCCAGTAGGGGGTGTGCAAGAGGCAGCTGGTCAATGTTTCTCTCTCATCGACGTTTCTAGCTCTCTATCTCTCTCCCTTCCTCTCTGTAAAAAATCAATAAAATATATTTAAAAAAAAAAAAAAAAAAAAAAAAAAAAAAAAAAAACTGACAATTCAACAACAGCTGCTGAGTACAGCAAACATGGGATAAGCCACGCTGCTGTCCTTCTTGCTGGGTGGGGATGTAATAGGATAAATAAATGTTATTACTGTAGCATAAAGAAATCCAAATAAAAGAATAGTGGGAAGTTGTACCATAAAATACAACTACAGGTCTGGCTGCTAAAGATGACTAATATTTTAAAATATTTAGAAAAATAGAGACACTTTCATACCCAAAGGATTTCTTTAGGCTACTGACTCAATTCTATTCTAAGGGAAGATGTCATTGTATTACTGCTATAAAATTTCAGTTACACAAAGGCAAACTGGATACTGTGACCAGCTTTGCCTTATTTCCTAAGCCATTATGCTCAGTCAACAACTGCATTTCCTGTTTTAGCTTGCCAGACGTGCCTGCAACTCACAGTGGTCCTTGTAGATACACCATCTGTTTATACATATTGGTTTCAAATAATCAGGCATCTTTGTACTCATGGATAAGAATTTTCCTTGGACATAAAATCCAGCTTGCTGGAACAGCCACCTTGCCAATGGCTTTAAAGACATAGATGTGGACTGATTCTTCCATAGAGATTTTAGTTCTTTATTATTATTTTCTCAGAAGATAACTGCTATTTCAGCAAATGGTACTCATCTCATCTCTCCGGGATGGCACCATCCTCCTAGATTCCCATCTTAGGAACGTTCAGCTCTTGGCCATGCTCAGCCTGCCCACTCCTTTTCCTATCCCTGGGCTCCTGGCAAAGGGGATATTGCCTGTCTGAATAAACGCTTAAGAATTCTCCTTCAGTGACAGTCCCTGAGAAAACAGGATCTGGGAAGGTGCTAAAGAAAGAACTGTAGATCCTATTCTGGAGGTGCCGTATCAGGTTCTCCTGGGAAGCATGGGGAGACTGAGCTCCTGTGTTTCTAATAAGCTCTTCAGTTTCCTCCTCTGTAAAATGGGAGTTACAATAGTTCCTACCTCACCAGGTAGCTGTGGAAGTGAGTTCGTTTATGTAGAGCGCTTGGACCTTCGCTCTACATGAGTGCCCATCATTATTGTTGTTATTCTGACGTGATGGTGAGCAGGTGTTTTGGAAATACTGTCTATTGTTATTAAAATTAAGAGTGCATAAAATCATCTGGGGGTTTCTAGATGTCCGGGCTTCGTCCCCCAAGATGCTGATTTAATAAGCTGGGCACGTAGCTGGGAATCTGCATGCCTATGTTTCCTTAAGAGGGGAAATGGAGCGTCCGCGGATGGACTGCAAAGCAGGGCTTTTCCTTTTCCCACTCCTAATCCCCAAGGCAAAGAAAGCTGCCTCTCAGACCAGGACAAAGATGAAGCCCGTTCCCATAGAGTTGTGGGAGCTGTTTGATATCAGCCAAAGGACCCGGGGACTCAGGCCCCACCTCATCTGTGGCAGTCAGGGTACGCACGGCCTGTCCGGGGCTGGCTCCCACAGGGTGAGGAAACAGATGCTGTCTGCAGGCTGCCCTGAGCGAGCTCCGGGAAGCGGCTCCAGTGAGCTTGGCTGGCCTGCCTCTCCCCAGTGGGGGCTTGGCCAGCTCTCTTCCCTCTAGCCTGCCCTGCACCAGGCCCGACGGGGCCAACTCAGGCCAGGTCCAGGGGCCGCTGAAGACCTGGCCTGGAATCCTTCCTGCCTCTCCAGCTGCAGGTCAATGAAACCCCAGATTTCCTGGGAAGAAGGCATTCCACATCCCTGGCAAGTCCACGGAGCTCCCATGACCTGGCAAGAATGCCAAGAACCCTGACACCACGTACGTGTGCCACGGAACCAGCCCCAACTGGCTCGTGTTCCAACCTCTGGAACTTGAGATTGAAAGGGCGAGCCTTCCAAAAAGTGAGATGACAAGGTTCTTGCTTCTCTGATGAACAGCATTCTTTCCAGAATGTCTACTTGTGATTATGCAAATTATACACTTAAAGGTAATTAATCCTTAACCCCTGGAACCTGACCCAGCCGGGATCCATCCATAAGCACATTACGTACGTACAAGAGGCATTTAAATGGAGACAACTGCGTCCTTGCTTTTACTAAAAAGTGTTGCTTTTTATAGAAAATGAGGTCTAGGCTATGTTATAATAAAGTGAAATTAAACATTTTAAAAAATGTTTTCCTTTGGACTCCTGTAATTTTCCCCTGTTCTTTCTAAATACAAGTCCATGTACTTTCTCCTCCTAAAATGCTACATATGGGCAGGCAGGGCTGTCTCCAATACTCGAGGAGCCGGGGTGAGAGAAGACCCCTGACCTGAGACGCCCCCTCTCAGCCCTGACTCCAGCGTTACCAGGGGAAGCCCCAGCTCATGCCTCCAGATCCTTTTTGCACAGCTGCTCTTGGGCCTTCTCTTGGCCCCAAGGGTAAAGCCACTCCTGACTCGACCAGCCCCCAGGAGAACAGATGGGAAAAAGGCCTGCGCAGACTTAGGCAATTGAGTCGGGAATTCTAGGGTCCCCCCACATTTTGGGTTCGCCAGGAACCCTGAGCAAGAGTGGGGGTGTGGGCTTGGGGTGAGCACATCTCTTTGGAAGCCCCAAATCCTGGTCTTATGGGGAGGAGCACAACCAAGGAGAACCTTACGGGGCCTCCATAACACAGGGGTCAGGATAGGGACACAGGCTGCTGTGTGTGTGTGCGCGTGCGTGTGTTTGTGTTTGTGTGTGTGTGTGTGTGTGTACACACTGAGTGGCCAGATGATTGTGATCTCTGACCGCATAATAATCTGGCCACCCAGTGTATTTGTATCTCAAATAGGTACCAAAAGTATTCTAGACTTTTGCTGGAGATCAACCACCTATTTGCCCTGAGCTTTCCATCAGCCAGTGCAAAGGGGAAAACTGATCAGGTGCACTATTTATAGTATCTTTGATATCAAATAAATGAGGTACTCATGAGAAGTACATTTTACAGAAGTGAATACATGTCCCGCCAAACCGCTGTCACAGGCTTCTAGATGGCAAGAACTAGATAGAAAAAATTTTCTTTGTCGAGCACCTAGTTTATGTAGGCAGAGATACCGCTGATGGTACAAGTTCTATCACGTCCACTGCTTGCTGAAATCTTTAAAGGGGACTAGGGAACATTTATTCGGAAGCCATTGTATGAGCAAAGGTTGTGTGACACTATCAAAAAGCACAAAGGTCAAAAAACATCTCACCAACGAAGATTCAGACAGAAGTGTTGGCTGTTCCTAAATCCCTCACCTGCACATGCCCCAGGCTTCCCCTCGGAGAGCCCCGCTCACCTGCACCTAGGTAACACACTCAGCACTTCCTGTCCGCTAAGCCTTCCTCCAGCTCTCAGGCCAAGTTCATGTCCCCAAGGCTCCCACAGCTCCATCCACAGCCTGACCACCTGCAGCTGCTTCTTGGGTGTCAGCCTCCCCACTGAGCTGGTGCACCCTGAGGCCTGGCACGGGCACCGTGTCTATAACCACAGCCTCCATCGGGGGACCTGGCACAGGCTATATGCTCACTGCGTGCCTCTTGCCTGCTCACCAGCGGCAATGAGGATTCCAAGCCAATGCGGTTTGGAGTTTTTGCTCTTCCCTACCAGGCACTCTACATACTGCCAGGTTCAAGCAAAATGCCACTTTACCTCCTGGAAGAGAGAGGTGAAAATAAACCAAACACCTGTGTTGCGTTACAGATGTGGAGACCATCGGGGGCACATGTGAATACCATATATATGTACTCTGAGGGGTTTAAATGTCATTCATTTGTAACGTTGACCTCAGAGTCTATGCCTTTAGAATGGAAGCATTTTTTAAAAAGAAAGCAGTCACACTTTTTCAGAAAAAAACTTTATATGCATACACTTTCTCATTTTATCTACAGATCTCAAAATCTTACTCTTACTGAAATTGGGTTGAGGGTGCGAGGAACACCTATGGGAAACTGTACTTACTGGAGAGGTGGCACACTCTATCTATGCAGCAGATGGATTACTTCAAGGAAATGGAATGTGATGGAAAAGTAATTGTCCTGACATGAATCTGTAGGTCATTTCTACCTGCAACCCAGGTCTGCTGGAAGAATATCAGCAAAGACAGCCACAGCATTAAAAGATATTCAATGTCTGCAGGGGTCTGATACTTTTTAAAATCTTACTTAGGAGCATCTAGAAAGAAAAGACACCCCCCAGGAGGGTCAGTGATGGTGGCCCTCAGGAGAAACGATGCCTGCTGCCCTCAATCTCTGCAAGTTTTCAGTGTAGAGACAGAAGAGGCTTAAGCAAAGGGATAGGGTCTCATTTCCGCTCCTTCCTCTTCCCCGTTACACCCCTCTCAGCTTCCGCCCTCTTTCCTGCTCAGAATGCTCTTTGTGTGTCCTAAGGCCAGGGCCTCAAAGCAGATGCTGCCACAGTTCCATCCCAGGAAGTTCCAGCGATTCCCTTTGAAAGCCAGAGCTTCTTTGTCTCTTTCCTCTGAAACACGGGGGTAAATCAAGAAGGTCCTCCCGCCAGCTTCTGAGGCCCAGGTCAAGACAGCTGTGCCCCACGGTGCCAGCTTGGGTCTCACCCTCTGTGGCAGCCACACCTTCATGAAGAGGATGGGAGTCAAGGATGACACGGGTTTCAGAAGATTCTCACAATGAGAACTGAAAAGCCAAGCTACCTGGGGAACTTCATCTTTCATCTTAGCGACAGATACCTGGTCCTCCAAGGTCATCCTCTAGTTGAACTCAAAGCAAATCCCAAGCAAACTCGCTGTGCTCATTCCCTGTGCCCTGAAGGGACCCTTCACCGCATCCCTTCAGTTCTGCAACACCCAGCGCCCAGAGCCCAGTCCCTGGCCCACAGCCAGTTATCCCTGTCATCTTTGCTTAAATTCAAAACTTGTCACTTGTCACTATCCCTTACTTAGGAATTGGTAAATGAGGCAATTAATAATTGTCAAACACTGGGGTTATTAAAACTTATCTGCATCCCAGCAGCTTTCTCCTAGATTGCTTTATATTATCATCGGGCCTTTCTCATGTCTTGCCCTTCCCACTAGACCACATGTGTCAAACACAAGGCCTCGGGCCAAATCCGTCCCGCCAGGCCTTGCAATGTGGCCTGCACCGCGCTGTCATCACTGCACTCCGCTGCGTTTCCATCACAATGACAGTTTATGACTGTTCAGTAAACCATTCGGCCCGCGATTTAGGCTGGATTTTAGATTTTGGCCCCTTCTCTGATTGAGTTCGACACCCCTACACTAGACTGTCAGCCTGTTGAGCGGGAGATCTGCCTCTTTCCTTTAATTGCCCGGAGTATGTCCTTAAAATTAGTTCTCTGAACACTTTGGGGTGGAGGGGAGATGGGTGCCTTTATTTTTTGCAAGATAATTTGCATGAACAAACAGTCATTAACAGCTCTTCCTTGCCCATTCTTTCTCAGCAGGGGCTGCCTCCGAGGAGCCTAGGATAAATGCTCCCTTCTCCACTGATAATAAGGGATGAGGCTTCCCCAGCTAAGCCAGGCCTGAGAACTAGGACTTTGATAGGTGCCAGCCCGGGCATCGGCAGAAGGGGCACCCTCCAAGGTAGCAGCTAGTTAGTTACCCAGGGGCCTGGGAAGGTATAAATATGGTTATTCGTGCCTGGGAAGGCTATTATACTAGTGTATATGCACACGTGCAAAGCCTCCCCTAGGGAGGAAAATGAATGGGACCGAATCGCCAAAGTCTGACAGAGACCCTTTCCTGGTGGTAGAACCAGTTCTGAGCTGTCTGCTGGCTCTTGCCTACAGCGGGACCTTTAGTTCAGATCCCTAAAGGGGGCGGTGCCAGCAGCGCGATGCCCCAAACCCAAACACGAAGCGGTTAGGATGGGTGCCCCAGCCTCTCCCCGCAGTGGCCTGCCCCCAGCTCTTTGCAGACAACCCCGTGCTCCCCAAAACTTCTGCAGACTGCTGGCGGGCTGCGAGCCGCAGGGCGACACCTGGAAGAGCAAGTGACTCAAAAACAAGTAAAACCAGCCGCGCTCCCACTGTGCAGAAGCGACTGGTGTCCTCGTCTAAAATAAAAAGGTCTCTGTCTGCAAATCCCGTTTGCTCCACCGACCGGTAATCCACCCCCCACCCCCGGCCCAGCGTGTCCGCCCGGTACAGCTGTTTTTAATCCCCACTTTTCTCACTTGGCTTCCCGGGCCCGGGCTGACCAGACGCGGAGCCACTTAGCGGCTCCCCCTCCCCCCGCCGGGGTCTGTCCTTCCTCCGCCGTCTCCTCTTTCCCCGCCCGCATCCCCGGGGGCAGCGTGTGGGAAGGACGAATTTCCGCCCGGTTTGTTCGCCACTCGCCGACTGGGGTCCCTTCCGGAGGCAGCCTGCGCACCCGGCTCCTCCCCCGGCTCCTCCACGGAGGAGGCCTCGCTCCCGGGCCGGGGACCAGAGAGAGAGAGGAGGCCGGGCTGCGGGGGCCGAGCCGCCCGCCGGGGCGCAGCAGCCAAGCCGCGCCCCAGCAGCTCTTGGAAGGACTCCCGCCCGCCCGCCTGCAGCTGGGGAATCCACTCGGCGGGGAGAATCCGTGCCAGGGAATCCAGCTCCGGACTCGGCTGCAAACAAAACAAAAAACTCAGTGCTTGCTCCCCCCTCCGCCCCACGACGCGCACCCGGAGAGCTCGCTGCAGAGATGCAACAAGTAGCGCCCGCAGCTCGCACAGCGCCCCGCGCCGCCTGACTTGGCCGGACCAAGCGATCCTGCAGGGACCGGGCCAGATGCCGGACAAAGGGCGGAGGAGGGGCCGGGCCGCGCAGCGGCGGAGTCCCTAAAGAGGCCATCTAGTGACTCTGGCCAGGCCAAGGGGAATGCAGAGGGGACACGGAGCCGGAGGGCCAAGAGGACGATCCGGCGGCTGCACGCAGGGCCAGGGCGGGCGGCGATGGAGGCTGCCCGCGCCGTGCGCTTCCTGCTCGTGGTGTGCGGCTGCCTGGCGCTCCCGCCCTGGGCCCAGCCCGTGTGCCCGGAGCGCTGCGACTGCCAGCACCCCCAGCACCTCCTGTGCACCAACAGGGGGCTCCGCGCCGTGCCCAAGACCAGCTCGCTGCCCAGCCCGCAGGACGTGCTCACCTACAGCCTAGGCGGCAACTTCATCACCAACATCACGGCCTTCGACTTCCACCGCCTGGGCCAGCTCCGGCGGCTGGACCTGCAGTACAACCAGATCCGCTCTCTGCACCCCAAGACCTTCGAGAAGCTCCTGCGGCTGGAGGAGCTGTACCTGGGCAACAACCTCCTGCAGGCGCTCGCCCCGGGCACGCTGGCCCCGCTGCGCAAGCTGCGCATCCTCTACGCCAACGGCAACGAGATCGGCCGCCTGAGCCGCGGCTCCTTCGAGGGCCTGGAGAGCCTGGTCAAGCTGCGGCTGGACGGCAACGCGCTGGGGGCGCTGCCCGACGCGGTCTTCGCCCCCCTGGGCAACTTGCTCTACCTCCACCTGGAGTCCAACCGGATCCGCTTTCTGGGCAAGAACGCCTTCGCCCAGCTGGGCAAGCTGCGCTTCCTCAACCTCTCCGCCAACGAGCTGCAGCCCTCGCTGCGCCACGCGGCCACCTTCGCGCCGCTGCGCTCCCTGGCCACCCTCATCCTCTCGGCCAACAGCCTGCAGCACCTGGGGCCCCGCGTCTTCCAGCACCTGCCCCGCCTCGGCCTGCTCTCCCTCCGGGGCAACCAGCTCGCCCACCTCGCGCCGGAGGCCTTCTGGGGGCTGGAGGCCCTGCGGGAGCTGCGCCTGGAGAGCAACCGGCTGAGCCAGCTGCCCGCCGCGCTGCTGGAGCCTCTGCGCAGCCTGGAGGCGCTGGACCTGAGCGGCAACGAGCTGGCCATCCTGCACCCCGCCGCCTTCGCCCGCCTGGGCCGGCTGCGCGAGCTCAGCCTCCGCGACAACGCGCTCAGCGCCCTCTCCGGGGACATCTTCGCCGCCAGCCCGGCCCTCTACCGGCTGGACCTGGACGGCAACGGCTGGACCTGCGACTGCCGGCTGCGGGGCCTGAAGCGCTGGATGGGCAGCTGGCACTCGCAAGGCCGGCTCCTCACCGTCTTCGTGCAGTGCCGCCACCCGCCGGCCCTGCGGGGCAAGTACCTGGATTACCTAGACGACCAGCAGCTGCACAACGGGTCTTGCGCCGCCGATCCCTCTCCCTCCTCGGTTTCCCCGACCGGCGATGCCAAGCGGCGGCCCTTCCCCACAGCCGCGAGGGAGAAGATGGCGCCTCCTGCCGGTGGCCTCGCGGAGGAGCTGCCGCCGCAACCGCAGCTGCAGCCACAGCCACAGCCACAGCCGCGGGAGAGGGTACCGGCCCCCGGGGCGCCCTGGGATGGGGAGCTCCTGGGCAACCGCAGCGCCCCGAGGCTGAGCCCATGGGGTGCGGGCTCCCAGCAGCTGGGCCCCTCCGCGTCTGCTGCTGCGGCGGGCCCGGCGCCACCGCCCCGGGACCTGCAGGAGAAGCCCGATGCAGCCCGCGCGGAGCCCACCCTGACCGCCGGGGCCGCAGCCTCCGCACCGCCGCCCGCCGGCGACCTCTGGCAGCGGGCCGCGCAGCAGCGCCTCCCCCCGCAGCAGCCAGAGGGCGCCGCCCCGGCGGACGGCGGGCTGGGGGCGGGCCTGCCGCCGCTGGTGTCCGACCCGTGCGACTTCAACAAGTTCTTCCTGTGCAACCTGACGGTGGAGGCGGTGGGCGCCGACAGCGCCGCGGTGCGCTGGGCCGTGCGCGAGCACCGCAGCCCCCGGCCGCTGGGGGGCGCGCGCTTCCGCCTGCTCTTCGACCGCTTCGGCCAGCAGCCCCGCTTCCACCGCTTCGTCTACCTGCCCGAGCGCAGCGACTCGGCCACGCTGCGCGAGCTGCGCGCCGACACCCCGTACCTGGTGTGCGTGGAGGGCGTGCTGGGCGGCCGCGTGTGCCCGGTGGCGCCCCGCGACCACTGCGCCGGGCTGGTCACCCTGCCGGAGCCCGGCGGCCGCGGCGGCGTGGACTACCCGCTGCTGACCCTGGCGCTGCTGGCCGTCAACGCGCTGCTCGTGCTGCTGGCCCTGGCGGCCTGGGCGTCGCGCTGGCTGCGCAGGAAGCTGCGGGCCCGCAGGAAGGGGGGCGCCCCGGTGCACGTCCGCCACATGTACTCCACGCGGCGGCCGCTGCGCTCCATGGGCACCGGCGTGTCCGCCGACTTCTCCGGCTTCCAGGCGCACCGGCCGCGCACCGCCGTGTGCGCGCTCAGCGAGGCCGACCTCATCGAGTTCCCCTGCGACCGCTTCATGGACAGCGCGGGCGGCGGCGGCGGCAGCCTGCGGCGGGAGGACCACCTCCTGCAGCGATTTGCAGACTAGATCCGGGGGGCTCCGGGGTGTGGACATCATCTCCTTGGCCTGGAGGAGCCCTGGTCTCTCTGGGAGGCCATTCAGCCCACCTCAGGGGAAGATCTCATTCCATCACACCGCCTCCTTGTGTGCACTTGGCCAGATAGGAAGCCAATTCGGCACTGCCCCCTAATTCCCAATATTCATGAAATACATGGGTGGTACTTGGTGGTCAAGTACCCATGAGTAGGGGACGCATGGACGGTGGGGTTCAGAGGTGGAAGGCCTTCTTTACACGGAGACTTGGGCGCAGCTGTGAGATTGCTTTTGGTGTCATGGCAATGCAATAGCCTCCCCCCCCCCCCCTTGGGGGAGGAAAGGGGGCCAGAAAGCGACGAGACATACTTTTTTACTTGTTCAGTGTCCCGAAGAGGTGTTTTGTGTTCTATTTAAGGAAAAAGGAACTTATTACCATGACAAAGGAGGCTTGGTTTGGGGGTTTGTTGCCAAGAAGGATGATGTCAGCAGGTGGTAAAGTTTAACACACTCACCAAGGAGGAACTCTTTTATGGTGGATAACTTGACCTTTAAGTAACTAGAGACGCTGTTTTTTGTTTTTGTTTTTTTTCAACAATGTGAAGAGCTCTGACATTTAACTGACACACTCAAGGACTATTTTAGATTGAGCCAGGTGGCTCAACAGTTTTCTTTGTAACACGAACATCACCGAAGGTTGGCCGACCTTGGGGTTAACTTAGAGATTACACACTTTCTCTGGAGAAGGCTGCATCCGAGACTTCTCCATCAGGGTTGCTCCTGTGGCTTTTTATTTTATTTTAATTTTTTTAAACCCATAGATGGAATTTTCAATGCCAGGCTTCATCCAAGAATGTAATGTGTATGTAGCTGGTGACCCCGTAGGGAATGCCAGTGTGCTTACCACACCTCTGACAGTGCGTGTGGGCTGGGAAACATGCCATGTGCTGGGAAACATTTCATGTTATCAGTGACATGCAGTTGACTGTGTCCTCCTGGTTCCGAGTTGCACAGTTAAGTGTTAAAGGACATTTCCTAATAGGGGAGCAAGAGGTGATTGCCAGTTGATAGGGTATGTTTGACCCCATTCATGTCTTACTCGTCTAGAGGAAATGGTAGAAGGGAAGAAATTCTTGGGAAAATGTGAAAAAATGGACACCGGTGGTTGTTTTCCTACAAAAAACCAGAAGATTGTTACAAGTACTTAAACCTCACTGTGAAATAATTCTATCTTTTTGCAAGTTAGTCCCTCCATGACCCTGTGTTTTACTGTGTTATTAAATCTTATTTCGTAGTTGATAATTGCAGTCTTCCTTGTCCATGCTTTTGTGTTAAACTTAGGGTTAGGCTCCTTTATTTGCTCTGTTGTTTTCAACTATTTGAGATACTCTCATCCCCTGATATTTATAAAGTACATGTTTAGCACTACATGTAGTGCCCTGGTTTACATGGATGATTGCGTGTGTGGTCTGCAAGTGTCGTCACTAAGAAGGTGTGCCTGGCTCCTTTCCCTGTGGTTATGACGCACAGGCAGTGGGGTGCTGTGGAGGCCACGGCACTGGTGCTCAGGCTAACGGTGCATCTTCTGGTGAGGGCTGTAAGCCCCTGAGGGTCCTGATGACTCAGGGAAACGATCCCAGTCCAGGGGTCCCTCACCCCCCTTTTATGGGTGGCCTCCACCGAGCCAGGCCTGCCCTTTGTCCCCACAGCTGAGCAGAGACCCAGGAATCTAAATGAACTGGTCTGTGTTTATGTTCAGCTGAATCAATGTCCAGACCACTTAACGTACAGCTGCTTTCCTGGCAGTCTTTATCTGTGGGGCCAAAACTTAATAAACCACAGGAAATGGACTGTCATTCTGAGTCTGCTGCCAGAGCTTGTTTCCGACTCCAAGCTTGCTGGCACCCGGGAGAGGTGCAGTCGTTGGCTCTTCTTGGCAACCTTTGGGCTACCCTGCACCTTTTCTGCTCCCGGCTGTTTTCATTCATCGAGCAGTTGCATCTCTTAGCTGTGTCTTTGGCACAGCCATGTAGCGCCGATTCCCGTAGGAAGTCTGGAAAGGACCTCTTGTTTTCCCACGGCTCACCCTGTGAACATCAGAACATCAGCGAGCATGCTTAATGCCTGATCTATGTAAAAAGTTTCCCTGGGAGGTCTTTCGATGGGAAATGAATAAATGCTGTCCATTGTTGTGCTCAGTGATGTCAATAATAAACCCACTTACTGATAGAGATATTTTATGGTTGAAGTTGCCAGTATTTTATACACCCGCCTGCGGGTACCCTGCATTTTTCTATAGCCGCTTTCATCATCGAAAGTGAACACAGGCATGAAGTCTTTCTGTCCTCTTTCAATTTTTATTTATTTATTATTATTATTTCCATTTTCACAGTAGAGTAGGGATGTTTATTTTTAAGAAATGGTTGTGGACTTGATGCCCCAAGAAAGGGTGAGATGTCTGTAAGAGCCGGCGGCCAGCCATGGTGTGAAAATACTATTAAGATCCAGTGACAGCAAGGTGATTGGGTCTCCGCAGGCACCAGCTGGTAAAAGGGAACTGAATTAAAAGCCAAGCCCTTTGACTCACATGGTCAGTAATAAGAAAGAATTCTCTTGAACTGGAGGTCATTTTTGCCATCACAAAGTTTATGAAAAGAGAAAATTTATAAAAGAAGAAGAATCAATTTTGTATGTGGTAGGAGTGTTCAATGAGGGGTCCAACAGTCTGGAATTTGAGGGGACCCTCAGCTTCCCCAGTAAGCTTATTGCTTTCATGAGGCTGGTCATTTTTTGATGCTGACAGGGAACAATTAGGATGTGATCAGAGCACTGTCATTCATTTGCCATGCACTGGGTTTTCACCACAAGTACAGCAATAGGGGCAGTGACTGTGTTTTAGGAAACCATTAAAATAGATACAGGATGGCCTGGTACTTGTAGTTAATCCCTATTGCGCCTATTTCTGAGACTTTGAGATGAGTGACAGTGAAGTAGTCCAATGCCGGAAGTGTATCCAAAATTCCAGACCCAGAATCAAAATGGAATCCTACCGGGTCTCATACCTTCGCCATCCAGGAGAATTACAGCATCATTCAAGCTCAGAATACTGTTTAAGGAAGTGATGAAAGGATCTGAATCCTCTTGGATTGTATTCATTCCATTCATTAATCTCCTTGTGCCTCAGCTTCTGCATCAGTTGAAACGGGAGGCCTAAAAGTCTTGACTGCACCATGCTAAGGTGAGAAGTCAGAGTGCACGGTGTTTGCCAGCATCTCAGGGATGTCGTTAGTAGCAGGATTCTCCTGTGCCCAGTGCAACAGGTGGCATGACACACTGTGGAAATTTCATGGACAAAACATTTGTGCTCAAGCCCTTAACCCATCAGAAAATTCAGATCTGAGATTACAAGAACCCCTCTCCTATCGTTCTGGTTGGTTGGGTCTCTCCTAAAATTGAGTGTGAAAGGCTAGCTCTCCTAGTACTTTCTCATTACTTAACGAATGTGAATTCATAGTATTTCACCAAACGTTTCTGTGTCTATGAAATTTATGGTATACATTAATCCACCCTTGAGGCTGGAACTAAGGGTTGGGTGCATGGTCTTGCTTGCATAGCCCCCATCCTGTTTCCATTAACTTCGTGATAGCATCTCGAAGTCTGCTTTTACTCTCAGTTTACTTAAAGGGATACTATGCACGAACAATTCTTTTATCCCCCAGGGATTTCAAGCCACTACATCTTTCTCCATCAGGTGACAGATAGCATTCTTTGCATTTTGCTTGGGAGACAGGTATTTGGAGATGATATCTACATTAATGGCTGAACTAGGGGGAAGCAGAGCTGCTAATACCTGGCTGCTTTCTTGGGGCAAAGAAAGTACTTAAATATCCCGTTGCATCTGCATAACAGATTTTAAGCTACAGGTGGTGTGATTCTTCAACAGGAGCTTTATAATTTGTCTGTGAGCTGGCATCAGAAGCTGGGTGGAAATAAATTATGCACGTGCGGGAGGTAACCAAATCGATGTTTCTCTCACATCGATGTTTCTGTCTCTCCCCCTCCTTTCCAATCTCTGTAAAAATCAATGGAAAACTATCCTTGGGTGAGGGTTAACAACAACAAAAAAAGAGGAGCAATGTAAGTAGAATTAAGCACAAACAAAAACAAAAAGCTCTTTGTGTGTGTGTGTGTGTGTGTGTGTGTGTGTAAGCCTTGAAATCAGGTCATGTGAATCATCCAGATTTTCTTTGTCAAAGATGATTTTGACTATTTCACTTTTTTAATTTTTCCATATATATTTTAAAATAAGCTTGTTGTTATTCCCAAAATTGCCTGGTGGGATTTTTTGTTTGTAATGCATTAACTCTATAGACCAATCAGGAGTATTCAGGAGTATTGGCAAACCTAGTATAGCTCATTGTCACAGAGAAAATGTTAACATGCAACATGGAACATCTTATGAAGGGAGAAACTATATTTGAGATTCTTATCTTGGTTTTATATATGTAGTATTCCATGTAGATAAAGACTTGAGGCATGTACTACATAGATTGAATAGGGCCTTTAGTTTATTTAATGTCACAGACTCTTAGAAGCATGTGTTTTGTGTCGGGCACTCTTTTAAGAGTTTTCTTACACTAATGTATTCATTCTTCATAATAACCCTCTGAAGAGGTATGTTACTATCCTCACATCAGAGATAAGGAAACTGAGGCACAGAGTGGGGAGGTGGTGGGGTCTGAATTTGAAACCAGGCTGGCTGGCCCCAGGATCCTTGCTGTGAACCCTGACATTTGCCACTTTGTGAGTAACAACTGGTAAATACAAGGGATTGTTCTTACAATTCATCATGACCATTGCCCTTCCCACACCCTCTCCCCAATACTACACTTTAAAAATCACCTCCAAATAGTTTGGTTTCATTTTCTGCCTGTTTTCTTAAGCTGTGTCAGGACAGTATCCAGGGATACATCATTCATCCTTAAATATTTAATGAGAACATATAGTCCATCTCACGGCCATTAATGCGTCTCTCTTTCTCAACATGGATGGGTCACTGTTGCATGCTGCAGGGTGAGTTCTTTCCACTGATCTGGGAGCTCCCCAGGGACAGCAATCCCCTTTCATGTTTACCTTTGTGCCCGTAAGGCCCAGCTGGCTTAGAGTACCTGCTACCTGCTTGTTGGTGAGTGCTACAAGGCAGCTGCCCACCCTCTTTCCACGGAGACACACGTGCCAGACATGTTAACAGAAGTGATACATACTTGTCTGTTGGGCCAGATCATTTAATAGCTGTACTTCCACCCAAATGACGTTTACATAGCAACTAGAGTCCTGGTGCATGAAATTTGTGCATGGGTAGGGTTCCTAGGCCTGGCCAGTGATCAGGGCCGATCTGTGGGGTGACTGGCAGGGTGATTTGGGGGTGGGGGCTCATTGGCACCTGTCTTGGGGCTTGCAGGTTAGGAGCATCTCCTGCTTTAAGCATCTGCTCCCTGGGTGGTCAGTGCACATCATAGCAACCAGTTGTTCCACCTGTCATTCCATCGTTCAGTCTAATAGGCTTTCATCATATAGGACTAGAGGCCCGGTGAACGAAAATCATGTACTCAGTTGAGGGCGTCCCTCAGCCTGGTCTGCACCCTTTTGCAGTGTGAGGGCTCTTGGGGGAATGTCCAACTGGTGGCTTAGGCCTGCTCCCTTAGCACTGCTCAGAGGCAGGAGAGGATCCCGCCACAGCTGTTGCACTTGCCAGCTGTGAGCCCAGCTTCTGGCTGAGCAGTGCTCCCCCTGTGGAAGCACACTGACCACCAGGGGGCAGCTTCTGTCTTGAGCGTCAATGCACTTCATAGTGACCAGTTGTTCCACAGTTCTGTTGATTTGCATATTAGAGTTTTATAATATAGGATGGCTGAAAACAGATGGGATGCTGTAAAATGGAATATTTGGGGGTACAATATAATTCTACTTTTTCTGTCTTTAATACGGGAACACAGTTCTCAAAAAGTGAACATTTGGAAAATTTAGCACACATTTCCCCTTTGTGTACTATTTGTAGATTTCATATTGCTTAGAAAAGTCATGGATTATGTCTTATTTATGTTGGTATTTCTATCACCTGGCATAGTGCATTTCACATAGTAGATTCTCAGTAAATGTTAGAATTAAAAAAAAAATACCCATTAGTCCTGTTCAGAAGGGTGTTACAGTAGGAGCAATTTTTCATCGAGCATATTTCCCCGAAGGCTGCGTTTTGTTTTGTAGGACACAGAAGAAAATTGTTGCATGCACACTGACAATTTTATTTCCACCTTGGCTCCCATTCTTTAGTAAATTCTTCTTCCCCCACAAAATCACGACTGAGACTTTTAAAAAAATTCAAGGCATAACAATCATTTGCGGCTTTCCTTCTGCAGCAGAAAGACACAGTACACAGTGTTCTTGTGAGATAAGGGACATTTCAGCGACACCGTGAGGCCCGTGGAAGGGAAGGCGGCTGGCCCACCATGTGACTCACTATCTGCAGGTGCCAGAGGGAGCTGTCTCTGTGGCTGATGGAGCTCTGACCTTGGCCCATTCATCATCATTACTGCAGGGGAGAGAGCCAATATCTCTATTCTTGTGAATAGGCATCTACAAAAGGAGGCACAACGCTGTGGGAAAGAACATGTGTGTAGAGGGTGTGTGTGTGTGTGTGTGTGTGTGTGTGTGTGAGAGAGAGAGAGAGAGAGAGAGAGAGAGAGAGAGAGAGAGAGAGAGAGAGAGAGAGAGAATGAATATGTCTGGTTTTTACATTTTCTTTCCTCTTTTCTGTCTGTACTGTCACAGTCTCCCATCTGCAAGCCTAGCTTCACAGAAGCCATTCCGGGCTGTGAGACTGCAGGGGCATAGTTTTTCCTTATAAGGGAAGGAAATCTGGCCACAGAACATGGACAATCTGTGTTAGCATCTCTGGGGCTGTGATGGCCATCTGATTAGGGAGGCCAGGGGTGAGGGGTGTGACCTTGAAGGGTGCTGCTCCCGAGTCCCGACCCAGCCCCCAGCCCGGTGCTAGCTGCTTCCTGGCCTGGAGTTCCCAGGCGAACTCTGGGACCGAGTTCACAGATGGGACCGAGCCCGCCGAGGTGACCAGTGGAATGGGTGAGAGGCTTTATTTAGAAAAACATGGCTGCCATTTGTCTTAGTTTGCTAGGGCTATTGTAGCAAAATACCATGCACTGGGTGACGTAAACA